GGGGCCCATACCCACTGGAAAGCAGTTCAACACGTTTAATGCAAGCTCATTTGAAGGAAACTTGGACTTATGTGGATTTCCAATGCCAAAAGAATGCAATAGTGACGAGGCACCACCATCGCAGCCGTCAAACTTTCACGATGGAGATGATTCAAAATCCTTTGGAGAAGGATTTGGATGGAAAGCTGTGGCAATAGGGTATGGATGTGGGTTTGTATTTGGAGTCACAATGGGATACGTTGTGTTTAGAACAAGAAAACCAGCATGGTTTCTGAAAGTGGTTGAAGATCAATGGAATCTGAAGGCAAGAAGAACGAAGAAGAATGCTCGTAGAAATGGTGCAAGAAGAAACTAAACAACGCAGCTAGTAACATGAAGTAAGTTCTACAAGCATTTGACATCTTAAAGTTTTATGCGCAAGAGTTTATGGTATTTTTTCTGTGCTATTTCCTTTGATTAGTCTTTTCTTTCGCTTTCGGATTCATTAAATAAAAAAAATTATTTGTATGTTCCTAAATTGCAGTGAAGTTTCGAATAAACATCCTCGCTACCTTATGAGATACCAAGCTAAGTTGACATGAGAAGAACGCTAGAGTGGCAGATTCAGAGAACTGGATTCCTCTTTCGTACTTCTTCGGTTTTCCTTCATGGTTGTGTTTTATTTTATTTTATTTTCATTAGTTTATTCGATACATGGAATATTTTCGAGTCACTTAATATGTGTGTTTTTTATTTTATTTTTTTGGTTAGTTTTGATGCAAGGTTTGGGTGTTAAATCTATAAAAATGAAGCGATGCATGCAGCAGTTAATGTTGAATAGAAAATCCAGCTTGATTTTAAGGGTTTTTTTTATTTAACCAGTACATAACCTGCTTGCACATTAAAGCTGGGAGAATTCCATATAAAAAGCAGGTCCTGGAAAGACATCATCGAGGGCCCTGAGGCATCATACAATGGACAACTAGATTTTTAAGAGTCAGTTTTCAGTTTGCTGCAGAGCTTTTATTTCTTTATTTTCTTTTTCTCTGTCATTGTAACAAACATAACTTTTTTTTTTCTAATTAGCCAAGTCTTTTTGTCACTAATTTTTATATAAATTTTGATTATTATATATATATAAATATGTATTGTAGAAAAAGGATGTCTTAGTGATGGCCTTTTCAAAATAAATTTAATGAGCATTGTGAGTAAGGTTAAGATGAATAATATTAATAATGCATCTTCTTCTTACTTGGTTTAGTCTTATGATGTATGGCATGAGAGGTTAGGGCATATGAATTATAATTTTATACAAAATTGGTTCATCTTGAATTAATACCTACCATGGTCTTTTAGAAAAAACATACATGTGAGGTTTGTGTAAAATCAAAATTTATAATTTTTTTTTCAAATAATTAAAAGAAGAAATGAACTTCTAGATTAAATTCACTCAGACATTAATGATTTAACAATAGTGTAAACCAATGGAGGAAAGAAGCACTATATCACCTTTCCATATAGAGAATTGCACAAGGTACTCTTATACTTATTTGCTTAGAAACAAAAATGAGACTCTTGAAATATTTAAAAATTACAAAAATTAAGTTCAAAAGCAACTTAATAAGAAAAAAAAGTAATACGAAGTTATAGATATGAAGAGTATGGAACACATTTTGGTGAATTTTGTTTCCAAAATGAGATAATCCACCAAATTATTTGTCACGATCCAAATTCTAGGTCCGTGATCGGCAACGCAGGAGCGATGTCAAAAAAACACTACACTTACGCTAAGCCTCAAAACAGACGTATCAAAAGAACAATTTATTCAAAAATACGCAGCATTTCATAATCTTCAGAAATATTATATTATTCAAAACTGATAAACCCAAAAGATAGTTCAAAACTCTTCATCAGTAATTAAAACAAAAACAATAATCCATAATACTCATTACATTGTTAAAAACTAAACTTAATTAAAATAGAAAAATAGTAGAGCGTCTAAGACATCGAATCAAAACTAAAAGGAAAGGAAGCCTTATAAAACAAGTAAGGCATACCGACCAAAACTGAAGAAATAGGAACACTCAACAAAGTCCACCTGTTATCAAAAACTAAGAACTTGGAATAATATTAAGAATGAGGGGTGAGTTCAACCAATTCAGTGAGGGAATAATATTTAATATATATTTTAGATATTTTAGGTATTAATAGTTTACAAGATGATTTATCTTGATATACATATACATATATATACTAAACATATTATCATAACGTAGTGGAATACATGTCAGAGATCAGATGACACCCGAAGGTGACCACTGTGGGATGATCAGTCGCCACAGGTTGATGCCTCTCTCATCAGCTAGGTATACAGAATACTATGTGCATATAGGCTAACTACTCTCTAGTAGCATGGAGTTACTGACAAATCCTATATCAAGGCATAATAGATATTTATAGAATCATCAAAGAAATGTATATCATATCAAATAGAATTTAACTCGACAGAATGCGAGTGCAAATTTAAGAATAGATGAGTACTTGAAAAATAAAGCAAAATATATAAATATTCAAGAGATTAACTAATCGAACTCATCATATAATCAACATACATATTTATTTATATTATATACATATTAAAGATTATCTTACTCATCCGGAAGAATATAAATTAAAAGGAATATTAGATCAAAGACCCGAAAAACCTATTAAGGATCATTAGAGAAACTTACAATAAATATATGAAATATACTCAAAAGCAACTCAAAACAAAACAAATAAAAGATTCCAATGCATAAAATAAAACCAAGTTTAATCTCCTAGGTTTAAGGACTAAAACGACAATTATCTAAAACAGGGACCAAAATGTAATTTTATCAAAACTAGACCAAACTATAAATACATAACCATATTGAAATTTCACCCATAAACCATCCTCAATTCTGTCTAGAATGAACCAGGGACCAAACTGTAATGTTTTAAAAGTTTAAGGACAAAGATGTAAATTCCTATAATTAAGGGACCAAACTAAAAATATTCCAAATCAATTATCAAACTGAGATTCATCATCCTTAACCTCATAATAACACTTCCCAGAATCTCAAAATATATTTAGGGGTGAAATTGTAATTTTTCCAAAATTTAGGGACTAAACTGAAATTTTCATAAATCAAGGACCAAAATAAAATTTGGTCATCTTCAACCTTAAGACCATTCTGTCTAGATTTTCCAGCAAGGTAAAAATGAATTTCTTAACCCATAAAAATTAATTTAAACAAATCAACTCACAAATCATTATTTCTAATAACATACTAATTAATCACCTAATATTAAACCCTTAATAATCATAAATCAATCTTAACAACATAAACTTCTAATTCTTATAAACCCTAATCTCTCTCTCTCTCTCTCTCTCTCTTAATCCTTCCATAAACAAATCATAATTAAAAGTAACATGAAAAACTAACATGAGAGAGAATCATTTACTTGCTACTTCCACTTTTCTTAAATCCAAAACTTAAGATCAAAAACTGAAATTCTTAGTTTGATGAGGAGAGAGTCACGACGGCTACAAGAATTAGAAGAGAGAAAAGCAATTCTCTTGCAACTCTTCCTTAAATACTTAGGTTAACTTATGTTGGGTTTGGGCTGACTTAGGCTTAAGTTTGGGTCAAAAGTTTGGGTCTTACATTATTACTCCTTATTTACCTCAATAAAATGACATTAAAAAACATAAAAATCAAACACTTAATAATATCATGTTGATAAGTTCAAGAGTACCTTAAAACTTGTGAAATGAGGCAATTCTGACTGCCAATTGTATATTTAATAAAGTACACCCATAAAAAACTAGAAAAGACACTATATGAATCGTGGAAAGGTAAAAAATCTTCTTAAAAATACCTCAAAATGTGAGGGTGTCTTAGAAAGGTAGCAATACTTGATCATAAAAAGTTCAAGATAGGATATAAAATTGTGAATTGTGTATTTATCGGATATGCTTACAATAATAATGCATATTAATTTTTTGTACACAAGTTAAGTATTGAGAACATATATTCTAATACTATTATAGAATCAAAGGGCGCCATATTTTTGGAAGATGTGTTTTCATTTAAGGACCTACAAGAAAATTATTCATTTAAAAGAATGATAGAGGGTAGCTCAAATAGTCATCATCAATAAAAAAAAATGATGAAGTTGAGCCTACAAGAAGTAAAAGGACAAAAACAATCAAATTATTTGAAATTTGAGCAATAACCACTTGAATGGTCCAATCCGAAGTTCAATTTTCAAATAAGAGAGCTTGTTAATAATCATTTTACATCCAACAGTAAAGAAATTTCTTTTTCTATTTGCATGCTGAAACTCCTTCAAATCCTTGACTTATCCAACAATAGCTTGAGTAGTTCTATTCCCCCATGTTTGGAGAACTTCAATAACACTATTAATTTTACATTTAGGCATGAACAATCTTCAATGAACTATCTCTTTAACATTTTTAAAGAGGAATGGCTTGGGATATTCCAACCTGGGGAAATATATGCCATCTTCAATCATCAACTGCATAATAGTGGAAGTTCTTGATCTAGGCAACAATAAGATTGAGTATACATTCCCCTATTTCCTAGAAACACTTTCAAAATTGCAGGTTTTTGTTCTAAAATTGAATAGACTCTAGGGTTTTTTGAAGGTCCAGTCACTTGTAACTCCTTCAAATTATAGATTTTTGACATCTTAAGCAATAATTTTAGTGGACCATTGCCAATAGGGTGTTTTAATAGTCTTGAAGCAACGATGATCTCTTTAAAATATTATATATATGATGGCAAGAGTTTTCTCAAGATATGCCTATACCTTAAAAACAACATGGAAAGAGAGTTTAAGAAAATCCAAAGTACTCTCGGAGTACTTGCCCTTCTCAAATAACAATTTCGGATAGATTCCAAAATTGATTGGAAAACTTAAAACATTTCAACAACTTAACCTCTCTCACAATTCCCTTACAGGTCGTATCCAATCATCACTAGGAGTTTTGACCAAACTAGAATCATTAGATCTATCTTCCAATTTGCTTACCAGAAGGATTCCTATGCAGTTGGCTAAAACTTGATGGCTAATCATTTCTTGATCAGTACTAAATCTTTTACATAACCATCTCGAGGGACACATACCTAGTGAAAGTAACTCAACACATTTGAAGGAAACTTGGGTTTATGTGGATTTCCACTGCCAAAAGGATGCAATAGTGGCGAGGCACCATCAATATTGTTGCCATCAAACTTTAATGAAGGAAATCGCTCAACATTGTTTGGAGATGGATTTGGATGGAAAGTTGTGGCAATGGGCTATGGATGTGGGTTTGTATTTGGAGTCACAACGAGACGAGTACTTGCATGGTTTATGAGGATGGTTGAAGGTCAATGGAATTTGAAGGGAAGAAGAACAGAAATGAATTCTCGCAGACAAGGTGCAAGAAGAAACTCAAAAAAATTACATTCAGTAAATCAAAGTACTCATGACTATTATTGTATGTTTTCTTATTGCAGTACAAATTCAATAGAGGTTGTACCTCACGAGATACCAAGTGGAGTTAACATTGGAGTTAATATTGCCGTGTTTCGAACACTTCTGTTTAGTCAAGACCTACTTGTATGGAAATATTTAAATTTTCAATAATTAAACCTTCAGTCCCCTGTTTTGCGCCACTTGTTTGACTATATATATTAGTTGCGGAGACTTGAAGGTCAATAATTAAGAGCTTTTGCTCACAGTCCAGAGGTGGGAAGAATGCCTGCTTCTGAGATTCACATTATAAGAACAAGAAGAGATTCAAAGAGTGGAAGAAGAACAAGAGAAGCCTTGAGGCTTGATAGTGCTGAAACTGTGTTATGGTTTGCCTTAATTGTTGTTATATACAAGTGTTTTTTTATATAGTTCAATGAATCCTACTAAACTTAAAACACTAAATTGAAAAAATTAAACTTAATATATATGATTGCAATAATATAATACACAGGTCTTGGGCTTATATTAAATTATGTTGGATCAGACTAAACTTCATGCTTCAACACACATGTCATTCATCAATGAGCCTTTTCTTCTGATCTTGTCCTCCAATTATGAACTTCTTTTTACTGGGAAGTCTTATTTGTCAATGAATCATTTTTGCAATGTTCTTGATGTGTAGTATCTGTGTTTGCCTGTATTCCCAGCCTGGAAATCTTATTTTTTAAACTATAAATGCTTATTTTTTCCGCCGATCAAAAACGTATAATTGTTTAACCCTTCAAGTAAGCAGTTCCTTGTTCTTGTTAATAATCACAATAATAATTTCACAGCATTTTGCAGAAGATTTAATTAGTATTAAAATTAGAAGCCACCTAGGCATAGAGCGGTAGATGTCCCCAAGAACAGTTACCATCAGACGAGCTCCAAAAGGAAGTTGCAATGAGATCACAAACTGTATCTATTAATTTATACGTAAATGTAGGGATATCAAATGTATGGTGTAGTTTAATTGATTAAATTTTAAATTTATATTTTATAAATTATTAATTCAAGTATCACAAACTTAGTTCAAAATCATTAAATGCTTATACGATCGAGGCCCAGATGTATCTTTATCTAAAATTGTAAATGAACTGTGAATATTCAGAAATTTGCATAAAAATGTCAATTTCGGAAATTAATATTGCCGTGTTTCCAACGCTATTGTATAGTCAAGGAGGTACTTAAGGGACCTACTGGTATGGAAATATTTGCAATTGAATAAGTCAACATGTCAGTTCCATCTTTTCCACACGTAATTGTTGGACAATATATCCAAGTTCCGGAAGGCTTGGAGGTCAAGGAGGAAGAGGACAGACCAGATGACGAGCTACAAAACAATTTCTAATTACAGCACAAACTGTATCTAATAGCACATACACTTTCTGCAGATGTAAGTACGAAGGGATATCATCTTTACGTATCTTTCCAACACTATTGTTTAGTCAACTAAGGGACCTACTTGTATAGAAATATTTGCAATTGAATAATTCAACCTTCAATTCCATAATCAGCACCAAATGAAGATTAGCACATGAACTTGCTGCAAATGTAAAAGTAGGGATATTATCTACTCTCAACAAAAATCATGGAGCCACTTCATTTGTGAACGTAGATTATACAATAAGAAACCGTTTGCTCTATAGGCAACTCATGCAAAAGAAACAAAGAAGAGTTCGCTAGCAACAATAAAATAAATTTAAATTAAATAGCTTGCTCTTAAATTTAGAATCACCTTATGATTTTGCACAAAAATTGTCCGTGTGCGTTTTGCATCGTAGTTTGTTAAAAAATTATCTTACCCAAAAACTTAACATGTTAAGTGAGACCCCAATATATGATTTATATAATTTTTTAAAATATTTTCTTGAGTAATTTATATGAACTCACACTATTTTATACTTATTTTTTATTAAATACAATGAGGTTGGTAGGATTCGAATTCGTGACTGTTAATTTTCTAATACTATATTAAAGAACCATCTTAACTCAAAAGATTAAACTGTTAAGTGAGACCCCAATATATAATATTATATTACTCTTTAACACACTCCCTTAATTGAAAATCTTTTAAATTTGAAATTTGTATATACTCACATTAGTCTGTGTTGTTAATTAAATTTTAATTAGAAGAGAGAATAAAGATGGTGGGATTCGAACTCGTGACCGCTTGATCATTAAAGCTCTGATACTATATTAAAAAAGTTATATCACCCAAAAGGTTAAACTATTAAGCGAGATTCTAAAATATGATTTATATAATTCTATAATATGGTTAAATTGATTTTCAAAGTGCTTTTGAAATTACTTTTTACTTGAAGAAATATTAAATTGATGTTTTTTAGGTGTTTTTTGATGATTTTAATTATATATTAATGTTAAAAATTAAAAAATATATAAAAATATATATTTTTGATGTATTTTTAAAAATATGATGCATCATGTTATCAAACACACGTAATATATGTACATTTATCATTACTTCATTTGTTTTATTTCTCCATGGTAAGTAAGGAAAATATAATAAGAGTAGTCCTGACTCGTGTGCCCATGAATTTAATTAAAAATTGTGTCCCTTATGTAATCTTTGTTATTTGTTAGTTTTAGTATGATGTTTTGTTTTTTTAGGAATTATTGAGTAATATTATTATTATAAGAACTCGTTGACTACATCTACTATATTAATTTATTGGTTACTTAATATTCTTGGTGAAGAAGACTTTTTTCGCAGAAATCCCACTTTCAATATCTACAGAATTTATGAGCACTATAAATTTGTTGGAAAATTATATACAAGAAATAAAGACTTTGGGGGTAAAACAACGAAAAGGAAACAGGCCAAATCGTCAGTGCTCAAGATTGATTTTTTCTTTGGTACGGAATTTGAATAGCAAAATCTTGATTGGTTTGTGTATAAATAGTACCAATTCATATCTTTATTCCTCATCTTTCGCTCAACACTCCAAATATACTTTCGAATCCTGCAAGGCCAGCGGTTTTCACCACTGTCCCTCTCTCAATCTCTCTCTTCCACTCTGTTTCTCTTCCATTTTCACACAACGATTTCATCATCAAATTACTCCTCTTCATCTCATTTCTGTGCTCCTGTCCAAAGCCTTTCTTTGCTCCAGTTCAAAGAGTCCTTTTCCATTAGTAGCTCTGCTTCAGAGCGTTGCCAGCATCCCAAGACAGAGTCTTTGCAGGTCAAGTTCTCCAACCTGACATATCTTAACCTAAATTACTCAGTCTTTGCAGGTCAAGTTCCGTCGGAAATCTCTCATCTCTCCAAATTGGTTTAACTTGATCTCTCTGGACACTTAAACGACTATCTAAGTCTAGAACCAATTTCTTTTGACAAGCTTGTTCGAAATCTAACCCAGCTTAGAGAACTCGATCAGCTTAGAGAACTCAGCTTAGAGAACTCGATCTGAGTTCAGTAGACATGTCATTGGTTACACCCAATTCCTTGATGAATCTGTCTTCTTCTTTGTCATCACTCATACTCCGTTCCTGTGGACTGCAAGGAATATTCCCATCCTCAATTAGAAAATTTAAGCACCTCCAGCAGTTGGATCTTGCAGATAACAATCTTACAGGTCCAATTCCACATGATCTTGAGCAACTCACTGAGTTGGTTTCACTTGCTCTCTCTGGAAACGAAAACGACTATCCAAGTCTAGAACCAATTTCTTTTGACAAGCTTGTTCAAAATCTAACCCAGCTTAGAGAACTCTATCTGAAGTGGGTGGACATGTCATTGGTTGTGCCCAATTCCTTGATGAATCTGTCTTCTTCTTTGTCATCACTCACAGTCTATTCATGTGGATTGCAAGGAAAATTCCCATCCTCAGTGAGAAAATTTAAGCACCTCCAGAAGTTAGATCTTAGATTTAGCAATCTTACAGGTTCAATTCCAAATGATCGTGGGCAACTCACTGAGTTGGTTTCAATTGATCTCTCTTTCCATGACTATTTGAGTGTAGAACCAAGTTCTTTTGACAAGATTATTCAAAACCTAACCAAGCTAAGTGGTCTCCGTTTGGGTTATGTAAATATGACTTTGGTCACACCTAATTCCTTGGCGAATCTGTCCTCATCCTTGTCAGCTCTTGGCCTTTGGAATTGTGGATTGAAAGGGAAGTTCCCACGTAACATAATGGGCCTCTTTCTCCTACCAAACCTTCAAGAACTTGATTTGACAAACAACGACGACCTCACTGGCTCTTTTCCTTCATCCAATGTGAGTAATGCCCTTTGGTTATTGGGCCTTTCTCTTACTAGAATTTCAGTTTATTTAGGAAATGACTTCTTCACAAATCTAAAGTTATTGGAAGTTCTGGCTCTTAGAGATGGTAATATCATAGGGTCAAATCTAACCCTGATTGGTTATCTTACACACCTCACTCGTTTAGACCTTGCAGGTAATAATTTGAGTGATCAGATTCCATCATCACTTAAAAATCTTGTGCAACTTCAAATCTTATATCTCAATAACAATAATTTTTCAGGTAGGATTCCAGCTTTCTTAGGTAATTGCACAACGCTGCAAATTCTTGATCTTGGTGACAATAAGATTGAGGACACCTTTCCCTATTTTCTAGAAACGCTTCCAGAGCTGTATATCCTTGTCCTAAAGTCCAATAAACTCCACGGTTTTGTGAATAGTCCGACTACTAAAAATTCATTATCCAAATTGCGGATCTTTGACATCTCCAACAATAATTTGAGTGGACCTTTACCAATAGGGTATTTCAATAGTTTTGGAGCAATGATGGCCTATGATCAAAATTCATTTCACATGATGGCCTATTTCATAAAAATGACATGGAAAGGGGTTGAGATTGAGTTCGAGAAAATCCGAAGCACTCTTAGTATACTTGATTTGTCAAACAACAATTTTATCGGAGAGATTCCAAAGGTGATTGGAAAGCTTAAAGGACTTCAACAACTCAACCTCTCTTATAATTTCCTTACAGGTCAAATTCAATCATCATTAGGAATGTTGAGCAATCTGGAATCATTAGATCTATCTTCAAATTTTCTTACCGGAAGGATTCCAGACCAGTTGGCAGATCTAACATTTCTTGCAGTCTTAAACCTTTCACATAACCAGCTTGAGGGGGCCATACCCACTGGAAAGCAGTTCAACACGTTTAATGCAAGCTCATTTGAAGGAAACTTGGGTTTATGTGGATTTCCAATGCCAAAAGAATGCAATAGTGACGAGGCATCACCATTGCAGCCATCGAACTTTCACGATGGAGATGATTCAAAATTCTTTGGAGAAGGATTTGGATGGAAAGCTGTGGCAATAGGGAATGGATGTGGGATTGTGTTTGGAGTCACAATGGGATACGTTGGGTTCAGAACAAGAAAACCAGCATGGTTTCTGAAAGTGGTTGAAGATCAATGGAATCTGAAGGCAAGAAGAACGAAGAAGAATGCTCGTAGGAATGGTGCAAGAAGAAACTAAACAACGGAGCTAGTAACATGAGGTAAGTTCTGCAAGCATTATTTGACGTCTTAAGGTTTTACGTGCAAGAGTTTATGCTATTTTTTCTGTGCTATTTCCTTTGATTAGCCTTTTCTTTCGCTTTCGGATTCATTAATAAAAAAAAATTATTTGTATTTTTCTCTATTGCAGTGAAGTTTGGAATAAACATTCTCGCTACCTTATGAGATACCAAGTGGAGGTTGACATGAGAAGAACGCTAGAGTGCTTCAGAGAATTGGATTCCTCTTTCGTACTGCTTCTGTTTTCCTTCATGGTTGTGTTTTAATTTTATTTTTTTTTATTAGTTTTATTCGATACATGGAATATTTTCCAGTCACTTAATTTGCGTGTTTTTTTTTGGTGTGTTCCTAGGCTGTTTCCTGGTGGGATCCTCTAGAGTCCACTAGAGTGACAGATTCAGAGAATTGGATTCCTCTTTCGTACTGCTTCTGTTTTCCTTCATGGTTGTGTTTTAATTTTATTTTTTTTATTAGTTAGATTCGATACATTGAATATTTTCGAGTCACTTAATTTGCGTGTTTTTTTTTTTTTTTTGTTTAGTTTGTGGTTAGTTTTGATGCAAGGTTTGGATGTTACATCTATAAAAAAAGAACCAATGCATGCAGCAGTTGTTACATCTTTCCTTCAATCACCCTTTCTTAGTGTATTCACACTATTTATTTATTTAGGAGTGCGCTTTTTATGTGAAGTACATTTCGCCGTGAAGAGATTAGTTGCTTTAACATTTCGATTCATTAACAATTTATCAAGGTTAATCCTAGAATAGCTCCTAGAATGGTGGATCAGATTATATGTAAACTGCATGTATATGTCGTACAGCTTTGCAATATTGAAAAAAAAAATACAGAAAATGTTCGCATTATCATTTTCTTTATGGTATCAGAGCTCTAGTTATGAGAACCTAGGAATCCATACAACTAAAATACCTCATGCCTGGTGACGAAGACCAAAAGCTTCTTGAATATAACAGGCGCTGTCGAACTCTTTCAAGACCTCAGAACAATGGGAGAACTCCAATCATCCACTTTTTCTCCATCACCCGGATCAACCAGGCGCTGTCCTCGTTTCACAACCAATTCTAATGCTCTGTTCCTTGCCTACTTTTGGGCAGTGTTATCATGCAAACAGAAGCGTTGGCAAATTAATTAGTTCCAAATATTTCTATCATAGATTTATGCAAGCAAAATGGTAATGTGAATAAGCAACCTTGTTAAAGCTTAGCTCCTGGAAATGGGATGCCGCCGCAAATTGCAACTGGAAAAAAAAAATATATGTAATTTGTTGGCTAGTCTTGTTAGGATTCGGAATCAAAACAATTAAAGCTTGATTTGTAAATCATATCTTAGGGATTTAGTTTGATTGTAGTTTTTGTAATTAAATCTTAAAAATTAGTTGCTAATCTGTCAGTTTACTTATTTAGACAAGATCTTTTCTATATAAACTATGTATATACACCGTAGAAATCACACAGAATAATAAGACTTCCTTACTGTTCTTCAAACCCCCTCTGTCAGCTTTCTTGTTTTCTTTAAGTCTTGCAAACGAGACCGACTCATTCCTCGTCATGATGCAGTTGTCGAACATCAACCTCGCACCTACAAGAAATGGTGAGGCATATTACAGCACTTACAGTATTAAACGGGTAGCAACGATGAAGCGAAGACGAGGCCGGTGCCAGAAACAGAGCATTTCACTCATAACCATGGACTTGGATTGCAATGAGATAACAGCGTAGGATTCAAAAGCCTTATTTCGAACATGCATGTTTATGAATAATTCATATTAAGAATTTTTCTGCTTCCAGTTTGCTACAGTAATTTAGAACATGCATGGACGTTTACCGATTTCGATTGTTATTGGATAAGCATGAATACGGTAATCGAGATTAAGCAATGATATTGATTGAGAATACTAACAATCAACGAAAATCAATTAAGATTCAGACTACAAATAGAAATAAAATATGAAAATCTAATTACCTACGATTCCTTGTTCGATTCGTTCTCCCATTTTTATGTAATCAGCATCAATAGTTTCAGCATCACATAAGAAGGTTGAGATATGCGCCGTAACATACATATGAATCACATTTGCATTCTACTTTCAAATTCTTTAGTCTTTTGAAGGGAGCACCAAAGTGTTAGAATACTGGCATGTAAACCCAACAAAATAAAAGATAATGGATAAGATAAAATGAGAAATGACACATAAAAATTTACATAGTTCACCCAAATTAGGCTACATCAACATGCAAGTATAGAAAGATTTTACTAAATAGTGTGAGAATTACAACATCTCTCTACTAATAGGAGAACAACTGAAATTTCTTTATTAATAGGAAAAAATACCTCACTTACTCTCTCAAAACTACCTCATAATTTTGTGAGATTACTTTCTCTCTCTCACTCTTTTCTTCCTCTCTTGTGGTGTGGAAAATAAACTTGGATGCATTGCCTAGCTCGCAAAGGATCCAAGCAAAGCACAAGGGACAAGGCAAGTGGCACCGAATTGGTGTCCACTTTGTTGACCTAGCTCCACCAATTGGTGCCAGTTAGCTTCACATTCTCTTACTTGAAGACTTTGATGATTTAATCAAGTTTTCACACTTGATCATTTGTGATTCTTCTATCCTTTTTATATTTGTTATCTTCATGCTGCTTACATTTCAGTTAGGCCATAAGAGGATTTACACCATAAATATTTGTTTGGTCAAAGCATCTGAAAATCTACACTTCCATCTTCCACCATTTCACGAACAAATTGATATTGAATATCTATTTCTTTTGTTCTTGAATGAAACATTAGATTCCATGCAATATGCAAGGCATTTTGACTATCACAATACAAAGGAATTTTCTCTTGTTTATGCCTGCGTTCCTCCATAAGTTTCTTCATCGATATTGCTTCTTTACAAGCTTGTGTAGCTACCATATACTCAACTTCTATTGTGGACAACGTTACAACAGTCTGAAGTTTAGAGACCCAGCTCATAGCTACTCCAACAATTATGAACACATAGCCTATAGTGGATTTTCTTTTCTCAAGGTCACCAGCAAAATCTGAATCAACATAACCTCTAACAATATATTATGATCATCCATAACATAATGTGGCATATAAGCTACCCTTGATGTATCTCAAGATCCTCTTAATAGTAACTATCATATACTCAGCTTCTATTGTGGATAACGCTACAACAATCTGAAGTTTAGAGACCCAGCTCATAGCTCCTCCTACAATTATAAACACATAACCTGTAGTTGATTTTCTTTTCTCAAGGTCATTGTCACATGTGTGCGGCGTCGCAATGAATATTCCATTTTTATCATGGAATGTATCTATCTAATGGAAAATATAGAGGGATAAGAAAATCTAGTCTTTTGTTGATGGAAAATGGAATGGGAGTCGCCACCTAGTATTTTGGTCACTGGGAACCCTAACTAGTCTCAGAGATCGGGTACGGGGACTAATTGCGTAAAGGAAAGGTATTAGCACCCGAAATATGCCTTACCTAAGGTCACTGGGTTTGTGTTCTTATGGCTTGAATAAACCGGTTATTAAAACCAAAATGTATGCTAAAACATATATTTTTTGAAATTTTCTTTGATGTGATGTGATGTGATTATATATATATATATATATATATTGGACAAACTAGGTCATATGCATGAAAACAAAATATTTTAATTTTTATATTTTTTTGATGACTTAACGAAAATAGGATATTTTAATACCAAATTTTTATCTTTATAGTATAAAAATACAAATTGATATTAAAAAAATACAGTAATAAAATTACAGAAAATCACAAATTTTTAAAATAATTCTTTAAATGAACCAGACCCAATTAAAAAAAAAACTAGACTGAAATCAGCCCAAAATAAATTAGGGCCTGGTTTCTACATGGTTTCTGCAGGGCAGGTCAAGTTCCGTCGGAAATCTCTCATCTCTCTGAATTGGTTTCACTTGATATCTCTGGAGACTTAAACGACTATCTAAGTCTAGAACCAATTTCTTTTGACAAGCTTGTTCGAAATCTAACCCAGCTTAGAGAACTCGAACTGAGTTAAGTAGACATGTCATTGGTTACACCCAATTCCTTGATGAATCTGTCTTCTTCTTTGTCATCACTCATACTCCGTTCCTGTGGACTGCAAGGAATATTCCCATCCTCAATTAGAAAATTTAAGCACCTCCAGCAGTTGGATCTTGCAGATAACAATCTTACAGGTCCAATTCCACATGATCTTGAGCAACTCACTGAGTTGGTTTCACTTGCTCTCTCTGGAAACGAAAACGACTATCAGTGGTCTCCGTTTGGGTTATGTAAATATGCCTTTGGTCACACCTAATTCCTTGGCGAATCTGTCCTCATCCTTGTCAGCTCTAGCCCTTTGGGGTTGTGGATTGAAAGGGAAGTTCCCAGGTAACATCTTTCTCCTACCAAACCTTCAAGTACTTGATTTGACATTCAACGGCGACCTCACTGGCTCTTACCCTTCGTCCAATGTGAGTAATGCCCTCAGGTTATTGGGTCTTTCTCATACGAGAATTTCAGTTTATTTAGAAAATGACTTCTTCACTAATCTAAAGTTGTTGGAAGTTCTGTCTCTTAGAAGCTCTAATATCAAATCTAACCCTGATTGGTCATCTCACTCAACTCACCCGTTTAGATCTCGCAGGTAATAATTTTGGGGGTCAGATTCCATCATCACTTGGAAACCTTGTGCAACTTCGTATTTTGTATCTCGATTCCAATAATTTTTTGGGTCAGATTCCAGATTTTTTAGGTAACCTAACCCTCCTTGAAAATTTAGGTTTATCCAATAATTAACTTTCAGGACCTATTTCTTCTCAAATAAATACCCTTTCATTGAGATTCTTTGATTTGAGCAAAAACAACTTGCATGGTCCAATCCCAAGTTCAATTTTCAAACAAGAGAACCTGGAAGCCCTTGTTCTTGCATCCAACAGTAAACTAACAGGTGAAATTTCTTCTTCTATTTGCAAGCTTAAATTCCTTCGACTCCTTGATTTGTCCAACAACAGCTTGAGTGGTTTTATACCACAATGTTTAGGGAACTTTAGCAACTCTCTCTCAATTTTGAATCTTGGCATGAATAATCTTCAAGGCACTATTTTTTCACCATTTTCAAAGGGGAATAACTTGGGATATCTCAACCTAAATGGCAATGAATTGGAAGGGAAAATTCCATCGTCTATCATCAACTGCACATTGCTGGAAGTGCTTGATCTTGGCAACAATAAGATTGAGGACACATTTCCCTATTTTCTAGAAACACTTCAGAGCTTTATGTTGTTGTACTAAAGTCCAACGAACTCCAAGGTTTTGTGAATAGTTCGACTACTAATAATTCATTCTCCAAATTGCGGATTTTGGACATCTCCAACAATAGTTTGAGTGGACCTTTGCCAATAGGGTATTTCAATAATCTCGAAGCAAAAATGAGCTATAATCCTAATATATATTACATGATGGCAGTGACATGGGAAGGGTGCGAAACTGAGTTCACGAAAATCCAAAGCACTCGTAGAATACTTGATTTGTCAAATAACAAATTCACCCGAGAGATTCCAGAGTTGATCGGAAAATTTACAGCAGTCCAACAACTTAACTTCTCTCATAATTCCCTTACTGGTCATATTCAATCATCTATAGGAATGTTGACCTTTCTGGAATCTTTAGATCTGTCTTCAAATTTGTTTACTGGAAGGATTCCAGTACAGTTGGCAGATCTAACATTTCTTGCAGTCTTAAACCTTTCACATAACCGGCTTGAGGGGCCCCTACCCAGTGGAAAGCACTTGGACACGTTTAACGCAAGCTCATTTGAAGGAAACGTGGGTTTATGTGGATTCCCCATGCCAAAAGAATGCAATAGTTACGAGGCATCACCATTGCAGCCATCAAACTTTCACGATGGAGATGATTCAAAATTCTTTGGAGAAGGATTTGGATGGAAAGCTGTGGCAATAGGGTATGGATGGGGGTTTGTGTTTGGAGTCACAATGGGATACGTTGTGTTCAGAACAAGAAAACCAGCATGGTTTCTGAAAGTGGTTGAAGATCAATGGAATCTGAAGGCAAGAAGAACGAAGAAGAATGCTCGTAGAAATGGTGCAGGAAGAAACTAAACAACGCAGCTAGTAACATGAAGTAAGTTCTGCAAGCATTTGGCATCTTAAAGTTTTATGTGCAAGAGTTTGTGCAATTTTTTCTGCGGTATTTCATTTGATTAGTCTTTTCTTTCTGTTTCATTAAAAAAAAAAATATGGTTAGTACTCATGGATATAGTTGTGTGTTTCTAAATTGCAGTGAATTTTCGAATAAACATTCTCGCTACCTTATTGATGCAGGACAGCTTGCGGAAGGAATCCTGCCATAAAACAAGTGCCAGCCACTCTTACCTTATGTAACATAGCCTCCTATATTGGGATTCCTATTTTTCCTATTTACTGTTGTTTAAGTTTAAGACTTTAATTTACTGTTTCTAGTAGGAATTTTCCTGTTTTTCCGTAAGTGATTCTCTTATTAGAATTAGGGTGGCAGCTTATAAATACGAGTGCCCCCTCATTGTAGTCACTTTTTGATTTTAATTAAGAATTTTTTTCAGAAACGTTACTCTGTTACTCATGGATTCGAGTATTTTACTCATGCTCGTGAATTCGATACCAAGTGGAGTTGACATGAGAACAACGCCAGAGTAGCAGATTTAGAGAACTGGATTCCTCTTTCGAACTGCTTCTCTTTTGCTTCATGGTTGTGTTATATTTTTTCGAGTCACTTAATATGCGTGTTTTTTTGGTTGTTTTTTTGGTCGTGTCTTTTTTGTTTTGGTTTGGGTGTTACTTCTATAAAAAAGTGCCAATGCACGCAGCAGTTACTGTTGACTAGAAAATCCTGCTTGATTTTTAAGTTCTTTTTTTTTTGTTTAACCAGTACACAACCTACTTGCACATACTTTGAAAAGATATTCAAAGTGAGAAATAAATACATCAATGTGTTTGTAACTTAACTCACAAAGGAACTCTAATTACAATATCACGAAGCATCGGTGCTTTATTCTCAACACAACTGTTCTTACGAATCAGTATAAATAAAAAAATTAATTCTTCTCAAAAGCAAGCAACTCAGAACACCATAGAATCAATAAAATGTTGGAGAAGAAACCCAGAATACCGTAGAACCAAACATCTGAAGGAAACACCTAGTTGCTTGGTGTGCAATGTTTCGTGAACAGGGGATATGACAGAGTTATCAGATATAGATAATTTAACAGAAGATAGTAGTTAGTAGAAAGGATATCCATGTAACAATATTTAAATGCTTTCATAGAACAAGTAATATTTATCCCACCCTTACGATCTGAAGGAGAGATAGTCTCATTAAAATACCCGACAAGGCACCATGGCTTAGAAATGTTACATTTGAAATTCACCAGATAGCTCCACAATTCTTTCTTTGAGGAATAATCCATAAATAGCACTCAATCAGTATTGTACTATGTGAAGACTCTTTCTATATGTTGTTGGGTGTGGACACAACATGGTTGGTGGCAGCCATGTTAGACATGGCTAAAGTCAATGGTGGTTGCATGGTGGGGGCCTAACCCAAGAAATTGTTTTCCACCATTGTTGACTAAAGAAGAATCTTGTCTCCCACATCAGCTATAAATAGAGAGTGCCATTGATAGCTGATGTGCGCCACGAGATAGAGAGAAACACAGAGAGAGAGCTAAGGGTGAGAGTTGAGTTGAGTTGAGAAGTTTTCTCCTCCTCCTTGTTTTGTTGTTTGTATTGCTTTTGAGCTTGATTAATACAAACCAGTAGCTCCGTGGAGTAGGCAAGTTGCCGAACCACGTAAATTTATGTGTGTTTGAATGTTTGGATCTCCTAACAACTGGTATCAGAGCTTGTTCTTGAAAGTTCTTGAAAAAGAGGGTGCTTGATCCAAACTCAAAAATCAAAGTTCTCAAAACGTGTTTTTGAACATACCACCGTGAAGATCACGACGAGAGGAATCCACTGGTGAAAACCCGGCAAAAATCCGACGTCCTGCATGCCCGCCCGCGCCTGCACGCGCCACCACCAGTACTGTCCACGCGCACAGACGCGCCGTACGCGCCTCACGCGTCTTCCTCGCCGTTTACTGCAACTCGACTCTGCCACGTCAGCGTCCACGTCAGCCGTTCGGCACAGTCAGCAGCCAAAGTCACCTGCCACAGCAGACGTTCGACACGGTCATCAGACACGTCATCAGCCACGTCACCACTGCCACGTCATACGAAGATCTCTGTGGATCTGCCACGTCAGATTGGGTGGACCCCACATTGCCTACGTGTCTGACACGTCATCTAGCCACGTCAGCACAACTGGGTTTTGATCCGGTGTGGCGCAGCGACTATTCCTCCTGCCACGTGGCTTCATCTGCGGCGTCCAGTTATCTCAATTTTTGATTGTTTAAATCGGAGCCATCTGAAGTCCGATTTGGGTGATCTCAGTGTCGTTTCCAGCATTTTTGGCCATTCCGGACACATCTGTAAGGTCAGATTTTTGAGATTCAAATCCGAGAAAGAGTAAAAATGGCTGATGAAATAAAGGCTGCAGGAATTGAAAAATTTGATGGAACTGATTTTGGATATTGGAAAATGCAAATTGAAGATTATCTATATGGGAAGAAACTTCATCTTCCTCTGTTGGGGAGCAAGCCAGAAAACATGTCAGAAGAAGATTGGCAAATACTTGATAGACAAGTCTTGGGCATTATCCGGCTATCATTGTCAAGAAGAGTTGCTCATAATGTTACAAAAGAGAAATCCACAGCAAGATTGATGGAAGCCTTGTCTGGGATGTATGAGAAGCCATCAGCAAATAACAAAGTGCACTTGATGAAGAAGCTGTTCAACCTGAAGATGACAGAAAGCACCTCTGTTACACAGCATCTTAATAATTTCAACACCATCACAAATCAATTGTCATCCGTTGAAATTGAGTTTGATGATGAGATCCGAGCACTTATTTTGCTAGCTTCACTTCCAAGCAGTTGGGAAGGTATGAGAACAGCCGTAAGCAACTCAGCTGGAAAATCCAAATTAAAGTATGATGATACCCGAGACCTGATTTTAGCTGAAGAAGTACGAAGAAAAGACTCGGGTGAAAGCTCAAGTTCAGGTTCAGCTTTCAACATCAACACTCGAGGAAGGAGACAAGACAGAGGCTTATCCAGAGGCAGATCAAAATCCAGGTACAGAAGCAAAAGCAAGTTTGGACCCAGGAAGCAGGTTGAATGTTGGAATTGTGGCAAACCTGGCCATTTTATGAGGAGTTGCACAAAACCAAAGAAACCTGAAGCTGATTCTGCAAATGCCACTACAGACGAGGTACAAGATGCTTTCATCCTTGCAGTACATAGTCCTATTGATGATTGGGTTCTTGATTCTGGAGCTTCATTTCACTGTACTCCACACCATGAAATGATGCAAAATTACACTGCTGGAAATTATGGGGTAGTCTATCTGGCCGATGGACAACCATTGGATATTGTGGGTATAGGAGATGTGCAAATCAAGACAATGAATGGATCTACATGGAACTTGCAAAATGTAAGGCATGTTCCTGAACTAAAGAAGAAGTTGATCTCGGTCGGATAACTTGATGATAGTGGCCATTCAATCCTTTTCTCTAGAGGAATGTGGAAGGTATCAAAGGGAGCAATGGTTTTGGCTCGTGGAAAGAAAACTGGCACTCTGTATATGACCACAAGATCAGCAGATATAATTGCCTCTACTGAAGCAGAAAATCAGGCATAGCTATGGCATTGCAGACTCGGCCATATGAGTCAAAAGGGGATGAAGATACTTCAGTCAAAGGGAAAGCTGCCAGAGTTAAAAAATGTTCATCTAGACATTTGTGAAAGCTGTGTTCTCGGAAAACAGAAGAAGCTCAGTTTCTTAAAGGTTGGCAGGACCTTAAGACCAAGAAAACTAGAACTGGTGCACACAGATTTATGGGGACCAGCTCCAGTAGCATCTCTTGGCGGTTCTCGGTACTATGTCACTTTTATTGATGACTTTAGCAGAAAGGTATGGGTCTACTTTCTGAAAAATAAATCTGATGTGTTTGACACGTTCAAGAAATGGAAGGCTATGGTTGAGACTGAATCAGGTTTGAAGCTGAAATGCTTACGATCTGATAATGGAGGAGAATACATTGATGGAGGTTTCAAGGAGTATTATGCTGTCAATGGTATCAGAATGGAAAAGACAGTTCCAGGCACACCACAACAGAATGGTATTGCTGAACGGATGAATCGGACCATCAATGAACGAGCTAGAAGCATGAGGTTGCATTCTGGGCTACCTCAAACATTCTGGGCTAATGCAGTTCATACTGCAGTTTACTTGATCAACCGTGGACCATCAGTACCTTTGGAGTTCAGACTGCCCGAGGAAGTCTGGAGAGGAAAAGAAGTACAGCTTGCTCACCTAAAAGTCTTTGGGTGTGTTTCCTATGTGCATGTAGACTCTGATGCTCGCAACAAGCTGGATGCCAAATCAAAGAAATGTTTCTTTATTGGCTATGGAGATGAAGAATTTGGATTTCGGTTATGGGATGATCAAAACAGGAAGATTATCAGAAGCAGGAACGTGATCTTCAACGAGAAAGTTTTGTACAAAGACAAATCAAGTACAGAACTAGAGATAACTGATTCAGATACGAGTCCACAGAAATCTGAATTCATACAATTAGAAGGGCTTCCTGATGTTACCACTCAAGAGTTCATACAAGACAGTTCAAGCACTTCAGTACCCACCACTTCTACACAAGATAGTGCAGAGCCAAGTGAACCAGCTGTTCGTAGGTCTTCCAGGACTATAAAGCCTCCACAACGGTTCACACTTCTACTGAATTATATCTTGCTGACCGATGGTGGTGAACTATTAAATTATGAAGAATCCTTACAAGATGGAAACTCGAGCAAGTGGGAGTTAGCCATGAAGGACAAGATGGAGTCATTGCTGAAGAACAAGACTTGGGAGTTAACCAAACTGCCTGAAGGAAAGAAGGCCTTACAAAACAAGTGGGTCTACAGAGTAAAGACCGAGCATGACGGAAGCAAACGGTTCAAGGCAAGACTTGTTGTAAAAGGGTTTCAGCAAAAGAAAGGGATCGACTATTCTGAGATATTTTCTCCAGTTGTGAAGCTTACAACAATCAGAGTTGTTCTGGGGATAGTAGCTGCAGAAAATTTACATCTTGAACAATTAGATGTAAAAACAGCATTTCTTCATGGAGAATTGGAGGAAGACATTTACATGCAACAACTAGAGGGGTTTGCAATACCAGGAAAGGAGAGTCAAGTTTGCAAACTAAAGAAGAGCCTATATGGTTTGAAGCAAGCTCCAAGACAGTGGTACAAGAAGTTTGATAACTTCATGTGTAGTACGGGATACACAAAATGTCAGGCTGATCATTGTTGCTATGTCAAACATTTTGACAACTCCTATATCATTCTACTGCTATATGTGGATGATATGTTAATTGCAGGTTCCAGCATGGAAGAGATTAACAAGCTAAAGCAACAGTTGTCAAAACAGTTTGAAATGAAGGATCTGGGAGCTGCTAAACAAATACTTGGCATGAGAATCATCAGAGACAAAGACAAAGGCATACTAAAGCTTTCACAGGCAGAGTATGTCAAGAAGGTTCTTAGCAGGTTTAGTATGGATAATGCTAAGCCAGTATGTACACCTCTAGGGAATCATTTCAAGCTCAGTAGAGACCAGTCGCCAAAAACTGAGCTAGAACGTGGATACATGGACCAGATTCCATACGCCTCAGCTATCGGCTCTTTGATGTATGTCATGGTCTGTACTAGACCAGATATTGCCCATGCAGTGGGAGTTGTAAGCCGATATATGAGCAATCCTGGAAAGCAGCATTGGGAGGCAGTGAAATGGATCATGAGGTACTTAAAAGGCTCATCGGAGACATGTCTTATTTTCACAGCTGGCGGTTTGAAACTTGAAGGCTTTGTAGATGCTGATCTAGCAGGAGATGTTGATAGCAGAAAGAGTACTACAGGTTATATATACACTCTAGGAGGCACTGCTGTTTCTTGGAGTTCTACCTTGCAAAAGATAGTTGCTCTTTCAACGACAGAAGCTGAATATGTTGCAGTTTCAGAGTCCGCAAAAGAGATAGTATGGCTACAGAGTTTCCTGCAAGAATTGGGCAAGATGCATGGAAAGGGTACTTTGTATAGTGACAGTCAGAGTGCAATCTTCCTTGCCAAGAATCCAGCATTTCACTCCAGAACAAAGCACATACAGATCAAATATCACTTCATCCGGCAACTGCTCGACGATGAACAACTATTACTTGAAAAGATCTGTGGAAGCAAGAATCCAGCTGACATGTTAACCAAAGGAGTCACTCTTGATAAACTGAAGCTGTGTAAAGCTTCAGTTGGACTTAAAGATTAAAAAACAGATCTAGCGCCATTTATGTCCAAGTGGGAGATTGTTGGGTGTGGACACAACATGGTTGGTGGCAGCCATGTTAGACATGGCTAAAGTCAATGGTGGTTGCATGGTGGGGGCCTAACCAAAGAAATTGTTGTCCACCATTGTTGACTAAAGAAGAACCTTGTCTCCCACATCAGCTATAAATAGAGAGTGCCATTGATAGCTGATGTGCGCCATGAGATAGAGAGAAACACAGAGAGAGAGCTAAGGGGGAGAGTTGAGTTGAGTTGAGAAGTTTTCTCCTCTTCCTTGTTTTGTTGTTTGTATTGCTTTTGAGCTTGATTAATACAAACCAGTAGCTCCGTGGAGTAGGCAAGTTGTCGAACCACGTAAATTTATGTGTGTTTGAATGTTTGGATCTCCTAACATATGCAATATCCTACCATTGTATTCGTGACATTAAAGCTGGGAGAATTCCATATAGAAAGCAGGCCCCAGAAAGACCAACTGAGGGAACAACATACCAAGATCTAGAATATCTTATCGGAGCATTACTGTTACTCCAACCTTCCTTTCCAATCCTCCGCTCTTTATCTATGAAAACCTTCAAGGTTTCCACAATCTGATCATTATCATCATCTAGCTAAAGAATGGCCTTTCCAACTTCCCAGCAAGCCTTAGCTTCCATTCTACTATCAACAGGTGGTTTTTGCTCCAGTTGCCGAGGGGAATGATCCCCTTCTCCATTACATGAATGTCCATGCCAGAGCATATAACCTTGTTTCTGTTTCTGATTTCATCATCTGAGATAGACATTTCAGTGATTTCCAGGTTAGCAGACTTCTCTTTTCTACTTCTTGATGTTCTCCCCTTACGAGTAGCTGATTTTAAGGAAAGTTTCTTCTTTCTTTTGTTGAACTTCTCTTCTTTTCCTTCTCTGGTTCTGCTATCTCCTCTGGTTCTGCTATAGGTGTGACGAAGAACTCAAACATCTTGTTTTTATTATATTTCACTGAGCCATTTAAGCATGAGATCAGTTGTTGGTCCGAAGCCTTATAGTAAGTAGTTAACAGAGGCTCATGTGTGTTAACTGGAACTATTGAGAGTGTGTTTTCCTCTGGCCCAATACATTGTGATCCATTCCTCCACTCATCCATATAAGCATTAGAGATAAGCCCACCATCATTTGAATAGCATAATCTTGATTGTTTGTTTTTGTTTACATTGTTCTCACGAGCCTCAGTCGGACATACAGATAAAAACTATGGCTTATCGAAACTACAATGTTGTCCACTTAATTAGGCTTACGTCAATCACAAAATTTTAAAGACATAGGAAATTGAACAAAAAGGAAGGTAATTTACAGAATTCAAATGCTACTTTGGGTAATCCACATGAATATTAATCGCATGGGGCGAGCCACCAATGAAAGAGGTCATGCCAAGAGATTTAATAAACCAGGAACAGACCTATGCACAAGCTTTTTAACTCCATGAGAGACAAGCATGACAACTTTATTACCGTGGACTTCGATTTAATTAAATTAAGATGTCTATGCATAGCTCAATAATTGCACGATATAGTTTGAGAGATTGTGCATGGTTGATTATCAGGTATGTAATAATCTTTATCCAGTCTGTCTACCCATTCTGTTTTTCTCTTTTTTTTCGTTTTTTTTTATTGTTTTATTTTTCCTCTATTTTTTCATCTTCTTCTCCCTCCCCTTACCTCCCGGTTAGGGGTATATATGTGAAGCTAGCTGGCACCGCCAGCTAAGTCAACAAAAAAAATGGATACCAATTCAGTGTAACTTGCTTGTCTTCTGTAAGGTGCCAGCTAAGTGGAAAAAAAAAAAAAAACACCATTTCGGTGCCGCTTGCAACACCAATTGGTGCCTCTTGTATCATGTATGGATACTTGCTTATAAATAAGTAAAACATCCAAGCCTTAATGCATACACAATAGATAAATAAAAGGGGAAGAGTAGAGTAAAAGAGGGAAAATAATTGCACAAAATTGTGAGATATTTGTGAGAAAATAAGTGAGGTGTTTTCTCTTATTATTAGAGAAATTTCAGTTGTTCTCCTATTAGTAGAGAGAGGTTGTAATTCTCATATTACTTAGTAAAATCTTTTTATACTTGTTTGTAAACGTAGCCTAATTTTAGTGAACCACGTAAATTCTTATGTGTCATCTCTTATTTTATTATGTTCTTTATTTTTTATCTTGTTGGGTTTGCATAGCAGTATCCTAACAATATATATATATAAAAAAAAAAGAGCTACTCTACCCATGTCCAATCATGTCGGAAAGGTAAAGTGGCTAGCGGTTATTGTGCAGCTGCCTACAGGACTTGTCCCCTCTGTTTTTTCATCTCAATGGTAGGTTACGAGGGGGTATGGGTTGTGTTGTTGTTTTTAGACAAATGAAAAGGAGAGATAAAGACGCTGCAAATGAAGGGAAGAAAACCTTATTCCCCTGCAACGCACGGTGATGGTAAATAGTGCCATCAAAATTGCATTTAGCTTTCTCTCTCTCTCTCTTTATTGAAAAGAGCGTAATTTTTTAAAAGGGTTTTGGAAAAAAACTTTGTATGTTCTCGTTTTCTTTTCTTTTTTTTGTGTGTAACCCTAAAAAATAGATAACAATAAAATTTTTAAATTTTTTTAATTTCATTTTTGATTTCAATCAATTGGATTCCTAGAGTTCAATCTTTTAAAAAAGATTATTGACTGTAAATTTCTTTAATTTGGTTTTTAATTAACCTCAAATTTTTAATTTTTTTACAATTTTATCTTTGATTTGAACCAGTTGACTTTAAAAATTAAATTTGGTCATCTAAAATTTCAATCTTCTCAGTTAAATCCAAATTAAACTTTCAAACTTAAGTTTTCACCGATTAATCCCTTAAAAAATTAATGACTAATTTAAAATATAATTAAGTCCTTACACTTAATTAAATCATTTAATTGGACCCAAAATAATTCTTAAATATAACTAAACTTTTAATTTGGCCCATAATTAAATGAAATTGACCTATTAAAAATCTAATTATATCTTTGGACTTAATCTTTGTGCAAATTCGTTCAATAATCATTTAATTTGAGCTTCAATCTGTATTGTCTTTTTAGTTTTAGGGTACAATTGGACTCCCTATTCATTCAAAATTGTTGTTTCATCTTACTCAATATTTGAAATCCTCTTAGCTTACTTTTGCTAAAATCCTAGTCTCCTTGCTATTATTATTATGTATTTTATTTTTTATTTTAGAAGGATAAACAGTAAATTTTAATGAAAATAACCTACAAATGAGTTATGACATTCTTAATAGTTAAGCTCACCTCCTACCCTAAATCAACAATTTACAATTACGTTACCAATTTCTCAAAGTTTCTGAAACCACAGAGTAGAAAATCATAATTTCCCTTCCTATACATAAATTGATAAAAATTAGAGAGGTATGATATCTTACCCAAGAGTTTTGAACCTCATTTGGCACTTTTCTAGCAAGTTTCTTCCTCAATTCTCCTTTTCCCTTCATTATACCTTGCTTCAACTACTTATTTCTCACTTTCCCTCTCCTAAACACTATCCCACACGCTTGATTTTCCAAGAAAACAAGGAAAGAACCCAATCTCTCACTTCCTACTCTTCATTTAAGTGAAAAAAAACAAGAAGATAAAAGAGAAGAAAAGTTCAAAGCTTCCTGTTTTTTTCTCATTGGGCTGCCCAGCTGCTTATCAAGGAAGAAGGGAGAGATTTCTGTTCCATGTTCTGAAAATACCCCTATTTGTTGGTTATGAGCTCTATCATCATTTCAACAGGCAATCGGTAGATTTCTTCCAGCTTAGCTTATATGTGGAAGGAAATAAAATTTCCTATCTGAATTATCATTTGATTATTTGTTTATGTCAGAATTTCACGTGGACTAACAACATAAATATGAGAAGTGGTTGTTCTTTGCTACCTCATATCAGGTATGCTGAAGTGGAATGTTAACGCGTCTTCAAGTTGCAAACCAAGACCATCAAGAATTGATGGTGTTCTTCTTGTTCCACTAGTACTATAAAATCTAATGAAGCTCAAGTTTTCGTAATTCAAAAAGCTATGCTTTTTAGTATTGATTGCTGCCACGCTTCTACAAATCAATTGGCTGTAGAGTCAAATTCTCATGATGCCATTACCTATATTAAAGGAACAAATGCTAAGCGATCTTGGCACCTGCAAACTAAATTCAATGATTTTTCAAATGGATGCAATAGGCTTCATTCTGAAAGTTTTGAACATGTTCATAAGAAAAGAATCAAGTTGCAGATCATTTAGTCAAGCAAGGAGTTCTAAGAAAAGATGACTTAGTTGTGGATTTAGTCGTGCTAGTAAGTTTTCTCACTCTTCTGAGTTTTTCTATACTCTTCTTTCTATCTATTAAGCTATGTTTTTAATGGCCATAATAGTGATTGAATAAATCTCTAGTATTTTTAATAAGATAAAAAAAACTCTTTGCATATTCTTATTATGTATATGATTTTGAGGCTATGTTTTTTTTTTTGTATTTTAAAAGTGTTTTTGAAAAAAATTATTTTTTTTTTCAATTTTTTTTTAATGTTTGTAGATATCATTTTGATGCACTAATTAATATTAAAAATAAATTTTTTTAAAAAAAATATATATTATTTTGATATATTTCCGAGTGAAAAGCACTTCGAAAAGCAACCGCAACCACACTCACAAGCACGTTTCGTTTGAGAACGCGATTGAAACCGCATTCCCTCAAATTTCCAAAAACAATTACTAAAAATTATTTTTTAAAATATTTTTAGATCGTTTTGATGTACTGATCTTAAAAATAATTTTTAAAAAATAAAAAATATTATTTTAATATATTTTTAAACAAAAAAATATTTCAAACCATAACTGACACTATAATTTCAAAGAATCAATTACTCTATAACAAAAGCCCAAAATTACAAAAATTATCCTGGAAACTAATATTGCCGTGTTTCCAACACTTGTATGGAAATATTTAAACTTTCAATAATTAAACCTTCAGTCCCATGTTTTGCGCCACTTGTTTGACACTATACATTAGATGCGGAGACTTGAAGGTCAATAAAAGGGACAGACTTGAAAAAAGAAAGAACTTTTTGGATTGCCAATTCAAATCATAAACTCATTTTAAATGCTAATTATTTTAATGGCATTTTAGTCATTTAAAATAATATATATAAAGCGATAGTTTGACATAGGGTTTCTCATTTTTAGTCATTTTAGTCATATATATTTTATATATCTCAAGTATTTACTTTCCCTCTTTCTTTTTTCTTCTTTCCTTTGTTTGTTTGTCTGTCTGTCAAGCTAGAAATTATTTGAGGAGTGCATGCTGAGAAATCACTTGGTGAAGAAAAAATGTTATTAGGAATCCCTACTAAAAAATACAAATGAATTCTAATTAAATAGTTTGCTC